CAGTCACACCATGCCCATCTCGTGTGACACACACCCCTATTACCAGGGTACGTGTAACTTTGTTACACTCTCCCACATTAAGATTGAGAACATTTACAGTGCCAATCGATTATTGCCCCAACGAGGCTCGCGTGTCCGCAAGACTCTGCAACTTTGTTCGCTGGAATAAAACGACTTCCGTGCACAATTAGCCCTGTGTCAACGACACTGAAGTCATCAAGTCTCGCTGGTACTGACAGCGAACACGGGCAGAGCCCAACTTCGTCTCCCGCACGCGGTGCAATGTCGGATAGTGCGTCCGTGGCACCGGGGGATGTACAATCTAGGCTCGATAAGCACGAGCGTCGCGCTTTGCGCACGCTATCATGACGAGTGACCTCGTTGAGGATGTGGAGATGGTCGACTACGAGTCTAACACTCCTTTTCCCGCATGGGATGACGAGGAAGGCGAGCTGCACCAGCGGCGTGATACCAGCCCTGCTCGCGCTTTGCGGACCCCATGTCCGTTCCCTGACTTCTCGTCAACCGAGGGACGTGGTGTAATCACCAATGACCTCGACGGGGCTCAAAGGCGGTAGCTGGAAGCTGCCCATAAGGCGGCTCTGAAGCGCGCCCATCCACGGCTGGTCATTGACCCTCGTGTGGAATATGGCATCCGCCCAGCGGATCCTGCTGTGAAAACGAAGGACGCGGTAACTCGATCGTTACGCGTCCACATCATTGGGCCCCCGGGCAGAACGGTAGATGAGCTTGCCAAACGGAAAGCTCGTCGAGCTCGTTTCTTGGTTCCACACAAGAATTTCCGTTGGAAGCTTATCGCACTCGTTTAAGTGCTCAACGAGATGACTCTCGTGTGCCCGCAATGCGGACAATACCTGTAGTGCTCGCCCCTAGCAAAAGCGTTACAGATGACGAAACGCTCTTTGAGCGATGGGTGCAACGGCACCGGAAGCTCCCTCGCTGTATAACCTACAGTTGAGCCACAAGGAAGTGGACGTGCGTGTGAAGCGACACCTCTGATTTGAGTTTGTCAAAGGCACGCCGTCGACTTCCTTCGGATTGTCGCGCTGCGACGTATGAGTTAGCCACTAACGCTCCCGCGAGCTCTGTGTCTGCGACCGCAAGAGCTCAGGGCCAATGCTTGAGCTCAGCTCATGGCCCTTCTACTTCCCTGGCTGTTGTCGAGAAGCGCGGGGCGTCTGATGACGCAGGACGTCATCCTCTTTCCGATCAAAAGCGTATACGGCGAATGAGCAATCTTGTCGAAGTGGCGCCTCAAACTCCCACAGTTTTCGGAGTTGGGATATTCCCGCCACTTTACCAGATATAGGGTTTAACCCTGGTGACGACGTCGTCTTACTAGACGCTCCACGTAATAGTGGGCATCGCCGTTCGCATCGAGAAGAGTCGGTGGCGGGCGGTGACGACCGGGTCCTTCATAATCGAAGCTTCGCTGAGCGTCATGCTGAAGAAGCATATCGCTGTGCAGACGCTCTTGACGATTTAAGGCACGTAGTGCGCCGGTTGTCTCACCTTGAT